TATATATATATATATGTTAAAAGACTCATCCACTATCTTTAAATCTTAAACCTGGCTTGCCCAGTTTAATATTTTATACTCCTTCTATTCGTTTGTTTCTGGAGAAACTTTTCAGATGGGTCACGGGTGTAAAACAGTTAAATTCGTCTTTGCGCTTTCGAAATGAAAAATACTCTTATCTTTGTCGGTAAATCAGCAAATATATAGTCATATGGAACGTTTGTTTTGTGCATGAATCTTATGTAACGATCCGACCGGTCGTTTTGAACTCTAGCGCGTTGTTCGGCGACTTGAGGCCTTGAATAACTCCACTCCAGGTATTATGGTTTGTACGTGTGGTCAGAATCTAATTTCGGGAAGTTCGGGATTGATTTGGAAAGAAAATTCTAATTTCGAAAGTTTAAAGAAGGAAGAATTGACTAAAGTATGACGTTTGATTAAACGATCTCAGAATAGGATTTGAAGGTTCCAATGGGTTCGTATGATGATTTCGGACTTGGGCGTAGGTTCGGGTTGAGTATCAGATCACCCGGGAGCATTTCGGCATTTATTATGGAAAGTTAACATTTTCGAAGGTTTAGGAATTTCGTAATGTTACACCCTGTGCGTCCCGAGGTGACGTATAATGAATATGAGACTTGTTAATCATAATTTAAATAGGTTTAAAGTCATAATATGACTATATATGATGTTTTGATAAAAAATATAAAGTTTGGTAAAAGTCGGATTTAAGTTGCGGAAAATCGACTAAGGATTTGCCTTGTAACGGAGCTTTTTGAGCAATAAATTTCGTGTACTATATGGGGTCTCTTTTTAGACATATTATATACAAAATTGAAGGTCTTGTAATGTAGTTTTCAACGCTCTTAACCGTTCATTCATAAGACATCCGGATAAAAAGATATAAGCGTCGGAAGATGGGCCAACGAGAGGGTGCCAAGATAGCACCTCTTTGACTTTTCCAAACTTCATATATATAGGTCTTAAGCCGTGTTTATGTTCATTTTACCATAGAACACGACTTGAGAACATCCATAAATATATCCATAAGCTCTCTTCTAGGGTTTCAAAGGATATTAACATCCCGAGCACGAAATCGAGAAGCGATAATATTAAAACGATCCCTACGACGTAAGTATCGCTATATCGCCTCTCTTTTTCTTTGTAGTTTGAGTTTTGGAATGTATTTAATAGTTAATAAAATTCCTACTTTCTGTATTTATGCTTTTAAATATCAAGTAAGGTTGATAAATTCATTTCCTAATATTTAGAACTCACGGGACGGTGATCGGAAGCCGTGAGTTCGATTTATTTCACTTTTAGTGGACTGTTTTGTAGTCCACTCGTGTTGTCCTATTGTGCTGCTGATTTATGAACTTTGGAAGTATGAAGGGCATGGAGAAACTCTACATGTGGTAGTGTAGTAGGTTGGTCGCTCGTCGTTGCAATTTCAAACTAATTGATAATTTATTGATTGGGTATGTTGTGGTATATTTGGGGGGTTTGTTGTATTGAAGGTCCCAAATTGTAGTTGGGTTATTTTTTAGTTGCTGATTGTATTGTGTTTGTATCTCGCCTATAGTAGGATTGAGGGAGCAGTGAAATCAGGGGAAATGCTGCCTGTTTTATTTTAGAACCGAGCTATCAATTGAGATACGTGATATACCACCGCCATCTAAATTGTACACGTATTTCTTTGTTATAGGGTTGGTACGCTAGTTATCATAAGCTTGTTGTTGAGTTTCATTGACGACTTGAGGTATGTTAAGGCTATCCATTCTTTCCTTTTGGCATGATCCATATGATACAAACGAAACGTGTAAACGCGAAACTTTCATAAATGATTCTATTCATAGAAGTACTAGGGGTTCCTATGTTCTGGAGTCCCCATATGTCC